AATCTTGCAAAATGCATTTTCTTTTCTGCATAATCTCAGTGAAAAAGGAAAGTCAACAATCTAATTAACTTTTACTCCATTAATTGCATGCCAACCACTGAAGCTCGGGTTCTGCCACAGTGATCGTCATTTTTTTCTGCTAGTAGGTTCTTTTTCTCTTTGTATATACACTTTTCTTTGTCGTACACCCATTTTGATCTTTTAAGAGTCCACTTGTTGAACCAGATTAGAAATACAGCTAATTCACTAGTATACTACTCACAATTAGTGGCTAAGCAGATAATGCTGGAACATCCACAAGAAGAACGTGAAAGCAATTGTTGTGCCCTGATTTTGTTCTCCACCAGCTAGCATTCAGTGGCTCTCTGCATCTGAAACTTTAGGTTGCATTTAGCAATTGTGGCTATTAGCAAGTGATAAATCTATTCTTTCTGAATTCATAAAATCATTTCCACCATGCTATAGCTAGCTAAGCTCCTTATTTCCCTCTGTTCTTAAAGAAAACAGAAAAGCACAGCAAATGATGGTTGGTCCCTGACCCACCAATTGAAGGACAATATTTAGAAAAAATACAGGAGAAGTAGGGATTACTTCAAAAGCTTTTACTTTTCAAAATGCTGTAGACTAATTTAGCTTGGAATGGAAAGGAAGATTCAAGGGCATGCTCCCTTTCAATTTAAACTATTTCTCTTTTACCTTACATGTAACTTTGTAAAATGGATGTACTGATGAAAAGTGGATCCATAATTGCAATTACAAGTTTCTTAACATGGCCCCTTTCAAACCAGATCTGAATTTACCAGAATGAAACTGTGAGTCTTAAAAAATCATAAATCCATTGTTTTCTAGGATGCCATTGATGTTGGAATCCTGTCAGTTTGGCATTGTATTTTTTTTAGTATCTCCAAATTTCTTTCTTTCATTTGCTTACACCAAGTGAGTATCTATAAGATAGGAACTGTTTTCATACGATGTTTGAAAGCATAATATATGCACTATTGGAAGATAGCTCTAAATCTCTAAAATGATTTGAAATATAATATTTGGATCATAACATATGTGTTTTTCTTAGACAGAGGATGGATGTCATGTGGGGTTGCTTTTATAACTTTGTCTAAGCAAATTTATCTTGAAACAAATGCACATACTCTAAATATAAAAAGTATGCATGCAACCATATATTTTTATATATGAAGAAATAGCTGCTGTTTGCAAGAGTACACTTACCTTTCTAAAGCAGAGTAGAACAAAGCCCTGAATGTGTTCAGCGTTTTGACAAAAGAAGGCGTGTTGAAGCTGAGACTTGTCGCTCATGGAGGGTGTTGGAACAGATGGATGTATGAAATCTAGAAGCCATTAAATCAAGTTTGAAACAAACAGGAGTGATTATCCATCCTTAATGTGTTCCTTCTGCTATGAAATAGATCAGCAGTGATTATAGTCCTAATGTTAATGTTTGCCATTTCTTGTCATGCTGCTATTGTATGCCAGTATTTTCCGAGAACCAAGGCTTATGATAAGAAAGCCCAAGTTGGGCTCTGTCGCTCAACTTGGGCAGAAGCATCCTAGGATGCTAAAAATTCCTTGTGTGATTAGGTTAGTTTCACAGTAAGCAAATATTTATGCCTAACATGTTCAATAATAGCTTTCAAAGAATGTATTGTGGGTCTGAAAAAGAATAGGAAGGATGCTGATAGGAAGGATGTGGGATGGATAACCAGATTGAAATAAAATGTGGGGAATTGTTAAAGCACGCCTAGTATCCCCCCCCCCCCCCGGCCAAAAATCAGGCTTCTACTTTCTTTTTTAAAAAACTAATCACACAGATGTGTGAATGTGATCAGATCTGAGTTGGTCCTCAGTAAGTATAACTAATGACACTGACCTAGAAGAACCTATGGTCTTGTGGTGACCAGCATGAGAAATGAGCTATCAGAGTGCTACATCCTAACATTGGAGATCAGCCCTCTTGGGTTCATTAATCCAGGCATTCCTGCCCAGTTGAACTGGATAGACCAGCCGGATCATTTTTCACAACTGTGAGGGGAGAAGTTCTGCCTGTGGGCCAAAGTTTATATAAGAGGCATGTATTAGATACCGGGAATTTGTTTCTAAACAAATTGGAACACAGCAGTACAGTCATCCATCCTACTTAATCGGACACCACAGGCCTTCTTCATTATTTTTTCCTATTTAATTTTATCTTGTGTGAATGAGATTGTGGAAACCAATGTGCTCAGACAAAACCATTACAGAGTAATGGGATTTGCTTAACTAAGTTTATACAACAAACAAACAAAAATAAGTGATAGGATAGAATTCTACCTAAGACACAAATGGAAACCCTGCATCTTGTATTGCCATTTTCTATTTGGGATTGGTGGTGATATGTTTTAAAATCTAATTTTCTCTTACCAATTAGTATCAACTATGTTGTGCAATATAGGAGTCTCTCAGTGCAAGATAGAGTCTATCCTCTGTTGTTGGTTGTTGCTTGAATTTGCCTATTTTCATGAATGTTTCCCTCCGTAAGGATCTAAAGCGAATGTATTTCATAATGAACAGCTACTCAGAGCTGGGGGAAAATAGTAGTAAAGGTTTAGGAGGAACCTGAGTGGTGTCATGCCCACAGGAATACAGTAATACACTGGCTTTGTAAATAGCATTGATCTGTCATTGGGGTGGAAATCATGGAGGCTCCCATCATTCTCACCACTGGTTAATCTGCTAGGGCTTGCAGTTCAACAATACCTGAAAGGGAGATAGCTAGGAAGAAAAAGGAAAAAGGAAGTGTAGTCCCATTTACAAATATAGGGGAAAAAGTGATAAGGAAACACTTTCCTGGAGGCATGAGACATGTAATATATCCTTGTTCCACAGGAAACATATATTTTTAATCTATAGGACATTTGAAAGACAGACAAGATTTTAGAGATTTTGAATAAAATCAAATGTAATTAACTTTCTAAACAATTATGCTGTTTAAAGAATGGTCGACTTCAAATCAACAGAAAACAAGAACAGATTTATCCACTTACCAAAATATCAATACAAGGAAAGTTACAGCATTTCAGCTCTTCTGTGATGAAAAGCAAAATTGGAGGGGATTTCCCTTTGAGAGAAGACTGTAAATAAGGAAAATGACCTCTGTCTAGAAACTGTTTGTCATGAATGGCTAGAGCCAGCATTATATAGCCAGACCTTTTCAGTAGAAGTCCATATGCAACTCATCGTGCTTAGTCATGAACCAGAGAGACCTCCGTCAGAGTCAGGTTTGCTGTTAAACAGTTACACTTCTTTGATTACTTTGTTATTTCCAGTTCCCACAATAATTGGGTATTAGTGAACTGATATTATCCATATTCTCATAGCGAACATTTCTGCTTTTAATTAAAGGGTGCGATGAATAAATGTGGTTGGGTTGCTGTAAGTTTTTCAGGCTGTATGGCCATGTTCCAGAAGCATTCTCTCCTGACGTTTCACCTGCATCTATGCCTGGCATTAATGTGGTTATTAATGTGATATAGTTGTCGTTTGCCTTCAAGTTGTTTTGACTCATGGGGGCCCTAAGGTGATCCTTTCATGGAGCTTTCTTGGCAAGATTTCTTCAGAAAAGGCTTTCCATTGTTATTTCATTTCTTCTAGGCTGGGAGAGTGTCACTTGTCAACAGTCACTCCATGATAGTTGTACGCTTTTCTGGCTGTATGGCCATGTTCTAGAAGCATTATCTCCCAAGTTGTTGTGGGTTTTTTTGGGCTGTATAGCCATGGTCTAGAGGCATTCTCTCCTGACGTTTCGCCTGCATCTATGGCAAGCATCCTCAGAGAGGAAGCAGGCAGGGACATCTAATTACCTCTCAACAAAAGCTTGCCCCAGGCACAGTCAGGCCATTTTATGCTAATCAAGGTGGTCACTTGAAACATTCACACCTAGCTCCAGCAGAGAAGAGTCCTTTGTCTCACCCTGGTCATTCCACAGATATATAAACCCTTTTGCCTAGTTCCAACAGACCTCACTACCTCTGAGGATGCTTGCCATAGATGCAGGCGAAACGTCAGGAGAGAATGCCTTTAGACAATGGCCATATAGCCCGAAAAAACCCACAACAACCCAGTGATTCCGGCCATGAAAGCCTTTGACAATACATTATCTCCTGACTTTTCACCTGCATCTATGACAGGCATCCTTGGAGGCTGTGATCCCAAAGCCACATTTTTACTCTTTTCCTGAAGTGCAAGAGGGAGGGGGCTGATCTAATATCACTGGGGATGGAGTTCCACAGCTGAGCGGCCACCACTGAGAAGGCCCTGTGTCTCCTTCCCAGCAGGCGGGATTGAGACCCTTCTTCACTCTCAGACCATTTCAACAGGCTGCTATTTTAATTCACCATTTTACTGAAGCAACTTGTAACAGGAATTACTGAACTGCAAGACAACTAACGTCACTAGAAAATATTGTAATATTATGAACAATTTCTCAACTTCTATGTATGCATTATAATTTGTATGAACAAGATGATACATATTATCTGTTTGTCTAATGATGTGAGCAGTTGTTCAAAGTGTCAGCATGCTATACTAGAGAGGTGAACAAGAACTGTCAGGATCCTGTGGATGGTTTTGGGCTTTCAGTTGATACTTCTCATTCTAATGCACCTTCACAGATTGGAGTAAAAAAATAGAGCAGGAATAAGAACTTCTTCTGGCACTGTGTTCTGCTTTAATCTGTTTCATTCCACAGAAGAAAGGGTCCCAAATGGCTAGTCACCTTCTGAGGGTGTGATTTGTTAATTTTTTGTTCCTTCTCCTATTTTGAGTGGCTAAGTAAAAACTTGGAGGTCTAGCGGGGGGGTGGAGAAACAGCCTAGACAGGAGTCATGTTGTCCACTTTTGCTCTTTTCCCACCTCTGCTCTACAAAAAATACTAGCAGAAGATACAGCCAGTAAGTTAGGTGAGATACCTTAATAGTAACTGTCTTTTTAAACTGTTTCCAATTCAGGACCACATCTCTTCTATGGATGCTGAATTCCCAGTTTCCCATGCCTGTTGCCTGTGATGGATGTGAGGTAGGAAATGATGTGCCATTTGAATGGACAAAGGAGCTCATTTGCGTATTGAATCCTAGCTGCATTTTGCAAAATCTGTGTGATCCTCTCCCTCTGTTGTATTCCCTTTCACCTGAAATATGAGCCACTTCAGAATATTACTTTGGCAGAAGACTGCAGTTCCCAAATTCCCACAGATAGCATTGACTATACAGGTGGACCCCCTGGTGGCACAGCTGGTTAAATGGCTAAGCTGCTGAACTTGCTGGCCAAAAGGTTGGTGGTTCAAATCTGGAGAACGGGGTTAGCTCCCGCTGTTAGGCTCAGCTTCTGCCAACCTAGCAGTTTGAAAACATGCAAGTGTGAGTAGATTGATAGGTACCACTTCTGTGGGAAGGTAATGGTGTTTCATGTAGTCATGCCGGCCACATGACCTTGGAGGTGTCTATGGACAATGTTGGCTTTTCGGTTTAGAAATGGAGATGAGCAGCACCCCCCCCCCCCAAGAGACGGACATGACCAGACTTAATGTCAGGGGAAACCTTTGCCTTTACCTATGCAGATGGGAACATAATCAGAGAGTCCATCTCCACTGTTGAATTAATGCAGTTTGACAGTACTTTAACTGCCATGGCTCAGCCCTGGTGATTTGTAGTTAAACAAGGTCTTCAGTCTTCTCTGCCAAAGAGTGCTGGTGCCTCACCAAGCTCCATATGTCAGGATTCTTTTACGAAGAGCCATGGGGGTTTGAGTCATTCTAAAGTGTAGAGTCATCCCTGGGTGAGATTCATTGTTTTTACCAGAGCTTTGAGAACAAAAACATTGTTAGAGACACTTATGTACAGTTCACTCTTCTTTATAGCCTATAGCTTTTGAGACATCCCAAACTGTATATGTTTGAAACTACTCTAAAGCAGTAAAACCGTATCTGTATATAACTTCTTGAGTGCTGTGGCATAGCGTATTTAAATTTAAGCCATTATTTAAGGTTAGAAGAAGAAAAAACCAAGGTGACCTTACAGCATAGCAAAACTGTAAAATGAACAGTCTGGTGTGACACTTCAGTTTCATTCTGTATAGCTCTTAAAAATATACACCAGTGGTTTTTCAAGTTGCCAAACATTATTATAAGACATCAGTACAACATTAGTAGTGCTTGAACCATGTTAAAAATGCCTTGGTTTAGACTTATACTGTATACATTTGCTTTTTATTCTCTTTGAAATACTTATAAATATCTTTAGCACAGTTCAAAGCATGTGAGAAATCAGCTTTTTGCATCTCAGACATATTAACTAAACACTAAAAATAGTATTAATGCTATTTTTGGCCACTTTATAGTTAATAGAATTCTAAGACAAATAATGAAAGTTGTAATGGCATTAAAAGGGATAAAAGAGGAAAATAAATAAACATACTTGATTGATTTTGTATTTTTTTAAAAAGACAGTTTAATGTGCTTTTGTGTTTATCACATCTGTGTGCATTTATACCATTTTAGTATCCAGTGTGGATCTGTCTACATGCAAATCAGACAGCTGGTTTAGAGAATGAGCCATTTAAAGAAGCCTCCATGTACTGCATGTGCCAAAATGAGTGGCAGGTTTGATAATAGGATTGAGCACACTTGGACTTTCAAATTTAGATGGGATTTCAACCCATGTTTGGCCAATGAGATGCACAACATTGTCCGGATTAGTGAGATGGCATATTTGCTTGCATGACACACTTTATAGAATCATAGAATCATTGAGTTGGAAGAGACCTCATGGGCCATTCAGTCCAACCCCATGCCAAGAAGCAGAAAAATCTCGTTCAAAGCACCCCCAACAGATGGTCATCCAGCCTTTGCTTAAAAGCCTCTAAAGAAGGAGTCTCCACCACCGTCCAGGGCAGAGAGTTCCACTGCTGAACAGTTCTTCCTAATGTTCAGGTGGAATCTCCTGTCTGTAGTTTGAAGCCACTGTTCCACGTCCTAGTCTCCAGGGCATCAGAAAACAAGCTTGCTCCCTTCTCCCTATGACTTCCCTTCATGTCTCCTCTCAGCCTTCTCTTCTGTAGGCCAGACATGCCCAGTTCTCTAAGCTACTCCCCATAGGTCTTGTTCTCCAGACCCTTGATCATTTATTGTGTTGCATCTAGCACTTGGTTTTTCTAAATCCTATGGATCTTTCTCTTGGCCATTTCAATAAGTTTAGTTAAGCTCTAGATGAGCTGATGTTGCAAAAACAATGGCATGTTTGCTATTACTAAGATGGAAGGGAAAAAACCAAAATTTTCTGATAAGGTAAAGGGTTAATTTAATAAAATAAGTCACAATAGATTCATTGAGCATTTTCTCACAATCATTATGGCAATCGTTCATCAGCTTATTCCTCCAGTTTCTTTTTTAGATGGAAAATGTTAATTTGAAGCCAGTTTTCCATTTCTTTTTAAAAAGCAAATAAACGTTTCCATGAGCAATATGTCTCTGTGGGGATGAAAACTTAACTGAATTAGGGGCTTAAATACTCTGAAAGAACCAGGTATTTTCTAATCTTAGAAACTGAGCAGGGTCAACCCTGGTAAATCCTTGGATAGGAGTTTGCAACAAATACCAATAGCTGTCTTTCAGAGGAAGGCAGTGGCAAAACCACCGTGTCTTCCTTGCCTAAGAAAACCCTATGCAATTCTTGGAGTAGCATAAATCCACAGGCAACTTGGAGGCACACACATACACAGATTAATACTTTACTTCTCAGTAGTTATTTTTCCTACATTATATTGCCTCTGCCACTTTGGGCCAGATTTTTTATTCTAATTCAAAGGACTGTGCTGTGTGGATAATTTGATTGACATGTCTGGAACTGTTTTGAAGCCAGGAATGTGATTACATTAACTACAGAAGAATAGGTATAAATAGGTATTTTCTCAGCCCTTAGGCGACTCAAAGCGGTTAACAACAAAATACTTTTATCTGATGTTGTGTCGATGATTGACACCCTCTCAATGTACCCCTTTTAAAATCTTCAATAAAAATCATTATAAAAAAACAACAACAACAGTTTCAATACACACATTACAAAATCATGGGAACATTTAAAAGCAATAGCATAACAACAATTAAACATCAATATGTTCTTTCCTCCATCACATTTCTGTTTTCCCCTGGAACTACTTTAGCTTTCATACATTCTTACAGCTCGTGCCTTTTGTTTCATTTTATGGTGGGATGCTTCCAGGTGTTTGATTTCTAATAGCTTTGAATAAAGTGGGTTTTTCTAGTTTGCAATATCCCTTTCAGTAAGTAATTTAAATAAAAGGCTTCATTGCAATTCTTGCATTCCTTGTCTAATATGGGAAAATTATTTATTTATTTGTGAGATTTGTATACCGTCCTTCTTAACCCCTTATAACTCAGGGCGGTTATTGCTGCTTCCTGCTGTTTTGAATACAGGAAAGGCTCATCTCACTATCATCAATATATTTGAATTGCAATTGAATATTAGGGAACACATCGGAAGACAAAAACATGTCTCATACAGATCTATATGAGTAAAAATGTTTCCAGGCAGTTATTCAATTTTTTTCCTTCTTAGTGGATTTTTATGTTATCAAAACACAGAAAAATAGGTTGGATGTGTGTATGTGCATGTGGGCTGTAAATGGGGGGGGGGGCTGTTTTCTAGTCCACTGTTATGATCATCAGTATTCGAGATAGCGCACAGATGTACAGAGGCCCCTTAGCATCTAGCAAGGCTTGATTTCAGACACTCATGTGGATACCCAAATCTGTGGATGCTCAAGCCCCTTTGCATAAGGTAAAATGGTGAAGGATTCAAATGAGTGCCAAAGAGAGCTTGAGGATCTCTGAAATGGTGGGAGGCTACCGCAGGACATGCCTAAACATCAACCTAGTGCTCAGTGCACATCAAAATCAAAATATGCTTTAGAAATTTATTCCTTTGAATATTTGCAAGCCATAGAAAATATGGCTTGAAAATATAATTGGCCCTCTCTGTAAACACAGACGGCCAATTATAATCCTTTATATGAGCACCTGATGGCGAAATGGGTTAAACCCTTGTGTGAGCAGGACTGCTGACCAAAAGATTGGCAGTTCAAATCTGGGGAGTGGGGTGAGCTCCTGTCTGTCAGCTCTAGCTTCTCATGCGAGGACATGAGAGAAGCCTCCCACAGGATGGTAAAACATCTGGGCATCTGGGAAACATCTTTCTGGGAAACATCCTTGCAGGCAACCAATTCTCTCACACCAGAAGCAACTTGCAGTTTCTCAAGTTGCTTCTGACACACACACACAAAACCCCTGTAATCAAATCCAAAATGACCTTAACAGATTTGAGAGCTGGTCAAAACTAATGATATGAATTTCAACAAGGAGAAATGTGTAGTAGTACACCTAGCAAATTAAAGTGAAATGCACAGAAATAGGATGGATGACACCTGGTTTGAAAACAGTGAAAAGGATCTAGGATTCTTAGTAGACCACAAACTGAACTTGAGTCAACAGTGTGATATGGCAGCTAAAAAGCCAATGTGATTTTAGGCTGCATCAATAAGAATATAGTGTCAAGATCAAGGGACGTCATAGTCCCCTTCTACTCTGCTTGGGTCAGATCTCATCTGGAAAACTGTGTACAATTCTGGGCTTCAGAATTCAAGAGAAACATTGACAATCTGGAAGGTGTCCAGGGAAGGGTGACCAAAATGATTAAATGTCTGGAAACCATGCCCTATGATGAGTTGCTTAGGGAGCTGGGTATGTTTCAAGAGAAGGTTGAGAAGAGACAGGATAGCCATGCATAAATATTTGAAAGGATGTCACATTGAGGAGAGGGCAAGCTTGTTTTCTGGTGCTGTGGAGACTAGGACAGAATGTAGCAAGGGATTACAATTGCAGGAAAACAATGCTACACAAATATTGGAAAGGACTTCCTGGTGGTAAGAGCTGTTTGGCACTGGAACTCTCTGCCTCGGAGTGTGATGGGGTCTCCTTCTCTGGAAGTTTTTAAGCAGAGGCT